ATTTTTACTTACACGCCTCGCATTCTGTATCCTTGCCTTCTTTAGTATTGCGACGAAGTTTAAGGCTTCTCTTTTTGAACGAGCCAGTTGCAGCTCCGGCAGTGCTGCGACGAAGAAGGAATGGTCTAGTTTGAGGTGCCTGAGGTATTCTTTTTGCTTTCTCCTTCTCAATATTCTGCACTTCTTCGCCTTGAATAGTAACAGTCGATTTGCTACTCCCCTCAGACTCATTGTCAGGCTCATAGAGAACAAAACTGATTTTGCGTTCCGCTAAAAAAAATTAATTTACGTTTTTATCACTCAAATCTATTTTCAAAGATAATTTTATTTAGAATAATGTGTTTACAAATTACATATTATTTTAAACTAACCGATGACTTCACGATCACAAGTTATAGATTGAAGACTTTGTGCAGATGCCTGTGAATGACCCATTGACGACAAAGCCACACTCCAACGTCGATTCGCTTCTCGACTGTACATTCTTTCCCATGGCGGAGGACGTTCTTTTGTTAAAAGTTTACTCGATTTTGGCAAAGTTTGATAAGTCTCTCTCAGAAACGCCGTCACTTCCAGTAGCAAAACACAAGCAACGAGACGCAATGCGAAGGGACATTGGGATCCATAATTATTTATACTAGCTACAAGTTGTTAAATATTAATTATTAATATTCTATATAATATATAATTCTATTTAATCGCTGAATTAATTTTCCAATATTTTAAACACAGAAATGTTACCATCATCAAGAAAATCTTCCTCTTCATCTTCCAGAATTAAATCCCTTTGTTTGCTCTCATCAGATACTATGTTGGTTACTTGCTCCATATTTTGCTTATCTTCAACTAAGAATTCTTCCAAACGAGCTCCTATAGCCTGTTTCAATTACAATCGTGTACTTTATTTCGTCGAATTTAAATTGTTTCAATTAAGAAATAATATTGCTTAATTAAAAATACCTCTGCCCATTGATAAAATAATTTTCCCGCAGTGCGCTGTAATATATGAACGCGTCTAAGTGCGGTGGAGGCATTTCGACTATTTATCGGCACAGACGATCGGAACATGGGAAAATTATGCTTCATCCACGTTGGCCAGTGGCCCTTATTGCATTGATGCACCAAATGCGCGCATTCCAGTATCAAGCAAGCGCGAGATACCACTGGCGCATATGGCTATAATTATACAGTTGAATATTTTCATTTTTTATAATAGTTTTAAAAAATATAAAGCGTGAAAACATGTGCACAATCATTACAAGGTCCAGAAGCGACGCCATCAAGTGTGGATCGGGGACAGAGCCTGGTTGACAAGTTTCTAGGAGAAAGGAGAATCGTAACATTCCTTCAAATACCGCGATACGTGGTACTAATCTCCTCTCCTTTAGTACAACAAACTCGGATTCTCTACAGGCTTCTCCGAGCTCCATGGAATTTCTTCGGCTAAAGTCTAATTGAAAACAGATGCATGCTTCGATGATGAATAAGTATTAATTTGAAACTTGAAGGAAAAGGAATAATTTGCATGATAAATACACAAATAAAAAATATCAATACGCATAAAATGTACATATAAATGTGCTCTTACAGTTTCCCGGAGTCTCTTCCATGCTTTCTTTTTTCTTGCTCTTCCCGAAACCGATTTTATTTAATTGATCCTCCATCCGACGTTTCGCCTTTTGCAGGGTTACTCCGACCCTATAAAAATTCCGCTCAAGTCTCTCAGTGAAAATAAAATCAAATAAAATTCATCCGCGAAATAATAAAAAAAGAATTCACGTAGACGCATAGCAGCGAGCTTTGCTAATGCTTTAAATAGACTTACCCGCGACTTCGCGATGCGCTGCGATGATGGCCGTAATGGAAGCTGGGTTGCCTAACAAAGCTACCGTCTGTGGGCGACTCGCTACTTTCATGGCTATCGGTAGAATCGGTCCGACTGTACTCCTTCCGGAACCAATTAACTAAAACCGATCGCAACGATTTTAGCACAATGGCTCACAGTGCATCGCAAATGATACGCGCAATTCCTGCCGCTCACCGATACCGCCAATTTGAAACCGCGTCGACTTCCGCGACCCCAGGGAAGGCTCCCCGACACCTAAATTACGTTCGCTCTGCCTGGGTGTCAACATGTGATGCTTCTTGCGCAGATTACCTAATGGACTTTGACTGATCTTCACGTTCTCCTCGCTTAATTCCGTCTCGAGGAGACTCTGCAAATTCGATCCCGCCTACCCAGTTAACCTTTTTAATACTATACAGACTAGCAGGTAATAGTGTAATTATCGTGCAATCGTCATTATTGTAATATTTACAGCGCAAGTGGACGATGTACTTTTTTTCTTGAAGAGAAACTTTCGCGTGCCTCTATCATCAACCGTGTAACACGTGTCTCCTCCGATATCCGCGTGTTCCTCTAAATCCGATTGATGGATGTGTCTGTGAAATTAATAAAAAAAGATGTAATAAAGAAATTCTTAAAAACATACTTATTTGTTTTTAAATATTACTTAAAAAATTACTATTAAAATGGGTTTGCTTCACAAATTATTACCTTATAACACGTGTTGTCTGCACGTTGCTATTACATCGTTTATTCGGTCGATCGGCAGAGTCCAGGATACCACTTAGTGCAACCCTTCGGAAAATACCACCGTGCGCCTCCTTGACATACGTCATCAATTGTCGTACGTCGCAATAAAGACTGATATTCTCTTGCGTTTTTAGCTGCTTTATGGAACCGACAAGGCGCGTAACCAAAGCTTTGAAAACGCAAGCCATGATCTGTCCTTCGATACCTCGCGCCCCGTAACCGCCGGCGTTGTACAACATCGCGACACCGCTTGCCGTCGCGACGTTTCCGCCACTTCCGCCCGAAGTTCCGCTTCCTCCGGTCCCAGAACCGATCATACCAGCGCCGAAATTCGTCGCGTATCCACTTTGGGTGGCCACGTCAGGCGATTTACCCGATATCCGCTTCTGATCTAAAAAAAGAGATAAAAGAGAAAATAAACCTTCTGAAAATTAAATTAATTTCTGTCTGAAAATAAAAAATTCTTTTTCTTTTATAAAATAAAATTATTTTCAAATTATGAATTTTTGCATTTAATATACTCACTAAGCGGCGATAACAACGAACTCGGATCTACACAGTATCCGACGTACGCGTGAAAGAAATCTAGAATTTCTGTCAGCGGTTGTTCTCGTATCATCGTTCGTAAGAATCGCGAAAATTGACGAGAACTCGCGCGATGCAATTTTGTCAGGATGGTCTGACCCTGGGAGCGACAGATATCGGCCTGAGGTCCACGAACCCCCTCTACGCAACCATGTGGACAGCCCAGATGTTTCAACACCCTGATCACGCAGTTCATAAGGAGATTATGAGCAGTCGGCTTGCCCTTGCTGCTTGAATCCTGCCTATGTTCCTGATGTAACTCTGTTGGCGAATCCTGTTTTTTCCTGTTTCCGACTTGTTATCCATTCCGGTACCAGATCCTATATGAGAAATGAGATTGCCTTGCGTGTAATTACGTAAATCTTTAAATTTTTTCTTTGTTATTGAAAAAAACAGGAGAAACAAAAATAGTTAGAAATGCAAATTTGTTATACAAAATTCTGTATTAAATTTGAAAAAAATTTAATTATCTGATTAATCTGATTTCATTGCCTGCATTACTACCGGCGGCTTCTTCTCTTAGACAATGCTTCATCACTCCCATGTCCATTAAAAGTTCCATTAAGTTCAACATAATCTCGCAGACTCGCGATGTGCAGGAAGTATTATCTCGCAGAGCAACGAAATGTATTGCCTAAACAATAAAATATGCATGTGACGGAAAAGTCAAGAAAATCCCATTATATTTTACAGTTACCTTCAAAACAACTTGAAGATCAACGTCACCCTCTTTAGTGATGTAACACGCAGAGCCGGGAGCTTCCGGCACTTCATCGCTCATGTAAGTAATGTTAGAATCCGTCTGTGATCTTGTGAGACTGGGTTTCCTCTCGGAACACAAACGAGGACCTTGGACACTGATGACATCTAATTGACTGTCGATGGATCCCTAAAGAGGTAATAACCAGATGATCAAAAATATATAGATAAATATGAAAATATAAATACAACAATAATATC